GCTCTGTGAAATTAAATGGAAACGTCAGCTCTACTCATATCATTGTGGGAAAATTCTACTATCAGTCCTTCATCACCTTAAGCGAAATAAGGTGAATACAACTAATATTTATTACATTTGTCATTTCATTCTTATTTTTTTCAATATTAATTCGCAATTTTAATTTATCTTAGTTCTTTACTATCTGAATTCCTTTAATTCTTTACCCTATTCATATTTTATGTTTTCCTATTCCATATTCCACTTATTATCCTCTTGCAGTTCGATTCTCTTCAATGTTTGGGCGAGTTGCCTCATTTGGCTTCTATCATTCTCATCAACAACCCGGTGACAAACCATCCATACTACCGGCGTAATATTTTTGATCTTATGGGTGAAAGATATAGCCAGGTAAGCTATCTTCTTTTTTAATTTTCAAAAATGTCGATGCCATAGCCTGGCTTTGTACTACCATACCCACTATCCCTTATCTGCATGCCAGGCTAGCTGAATTTTAAATGATTATAATTATTTTTTTATGCGACTGATGTTTGCCATTTTATTATTATTTATTTTTATAGTCTCTCATAGCAGTTTTTTGCAAGCAGATGGAATTCATAAAATATCGCCTAGTCCTCCTTCAACTGATAACGTCCACACAGCACGTAAAGAACGTTAAACGAAAGAAACTTGAATATGAGCAAAATAATGTGCAGGCTTATTTTCGCTATCGATGAGTATTTAAAAAAAGTAATAGGCCTATTCCTCTAAACCATGCCTAAATGTGTTAACTATTCACGTCTATTTCATATGAATTTGGCAAATTCAAAACTTTTTGGCTTTAAGATATTGCGTAAATGTATATGTTCATACTTAACCGGAAGATACAAAGAAAATGACCCATTCTTTGCGATTGATCTATTACATGCATTATCTAGATATTAAGATTTATTACCCGCAGCTAATTTGGAAAATAAAGTACAAATTATGAAATTTTTTTTCCAGATGCATAATAATTTATACATTTCTGCTTTTTGTCAAGAGATTATTCACGATCAGCACTTTTTTGAGATGCCCCTTGCATACTCTTATCATGTTGGATTAAGGGTATTTTTTATATCTCAATAATACTCATTTAATTTATTTAGTTCGGCATTTCTTTTTCCTTCTGGAGTTCGATTTTATTGATACATTATTCATCATATTATTTTCAGGTATCTTTGGACGGTTCTCCAGCAAGCCAGAGGGAAATCGAATTAGTGTTGCTGCATCGCGCTCTCTCCAGAGCCTGTGGCCCTCCATCCCTCACACCTAGACCAATTCGTTCTGCTCTATCCCCTTCTCCTCCTAAGAAATGTTTATCTGCAATCTCTAGTGCTTCTTCTCTTCTAACTACTAGAACGGCTAGTCTAAGCTCCAACGCTTTAAGTGGCACGCCAAAACAAATTGCTGAGAGTTGATAAATTTTTTTTCATTTTTTCTGTTATGCACAAGCATATTTGCATACATCGAAATATACACATATTCACATGAATTCATTCTTCAAATTAACATTCCATTACAAACACGGTTTCGAAATCTCTCAAGCACCAGGCCGAATATTTTTGATATTATGCTTCTAGTTTGCCACTAATAGACTTATCACTATTAGATTGTCGTTATTTAAGCTTAGGCGTGTACTAATTAGTATGACGCTATTTCACCTTAATCGTGTCCACTCTACCATGGTGTAATAATTTCATTTCCAACAATAACGAAATTTTTTTATTTTATAATCCATTTAGACATGACATGACTATAACTTTATAACTCCTCTAGGGTTATGTGTCTCAATTCTTCTCCATTTTTCAACAATAAAGCACTAGCTTTTACATAGATTAAAATGACAAGATTGGATAACCTTTGGTTTGTTCGCATTCTTTTATCGCTGTTTAGAGTTGGTTCGACCTCGTTTTTGCGACAGAAATATTTTTACAAAGATCTTGAAGGAGCTACCTAGCATATATTTTTACCATTGATGTAATGTGCTTTTTCTACTTCGGAACCTTGTCTGAGTAATCTATATGACGTTTGTCCTGTATCGCCAAGAAGAAGTGCCATCCTTAGCTATAATTTTTCATACTGACTTGAATGGACATTTAAAATTATACTAATACCATTTTAGGAAAATTCTACTCTTAGTTCTAATATCAACATATGTTAGCTTGGGTCAGTAAGTTCTTATTCATTATTTATATTAAAATACCATCATTTTTACTTCAGCGAGCTTGACACTTCTCTTTCTTCATCTCATATCTTCATAATATTACTCATATTTTAGAGTGAAAGAGTGGTCATATGAAGGTAAAGTAAGGAATAAGGGTAAAAGGCTGAACTAGTACAGATACCAGGACATGATAAGGATATATGTCACTATGTGCAGGAAATTGGTAAGGAGGATGTCACTGGTGAGTTTTTGCTCGCTACCAAGAGTGGCGCTTCTAATTAAAATTGCTAGTGAAACTTCTGGTAATGTCCTTAGTCAATAAACCGATTATGGATTAACAGACAGTTCTGAAAACATGACTAGGTTGCCAAAACGAGACAAGATCAACACAATTTTCTTCAGTTTCTCTTTCCATTTGCTACATCTTGATAGTAATTTAATAATTATAAATACCTTACTTC